TTTCTTTTGTGAATATTTTATTACGGCCATAAAGCCATCTCATCCTAGCACAAAAACCTTTCATCCAAAAACGCAACTCCTTTTCTGTAATGGAAACGGAGCTGCTGGTGAGGCAGGTTTCTGTTGGGATATATCAGGATCACCTCATGGAGTCTGTGCACCGAATGGAAAACCAGGATAACAGGAAACGTTCCGACGTTTCCACCTTTTGGTTTGTTAAAGCTGCAGATCTGAGCGCCGTTCAGTTTGATTCTGCGACGTGAAGTTGGTGTGAAACGCGCGTTAATGGCGTGTCAGGTTTCCAGTCAGGCTGTCGTCTCTGTCGGCGCTGAGGGGAAGCTGCTCCTGTACACGCAGACAACGAGACGTGCAGGCACAATTATTCCTACATATCACAGGAACTCCTCCTGAACCCTCTCAGGTGATTTCCTGCAGCAGATGTTGGGATTCTCCTCGTTTTCAGGCTGAAGCAGAGCAGAACCTGGTTCATTAAAACCAAGCAGAAACAGAACCGGAGATGTTTACAACATGGACCTGTTTGCTCCTCGGAGTCGGACTCTCAACCTGTTGACAGGTTGGAGTTTAAGGGAAACTGCTGCAGGGCATCCAGGTGCCAGGAGGCTGGAAGCATCGATAAAATGTTCACAGCTTCACATGGAGCTGCTTACATCCTAATCCTTTATTTATGTTTTTCATTTTAGATTTTAATGCGTTAAAAATTGAGCTCAATCGAATTTTTTTGACATGTTTGTGCGTTTTTGGTAAATGGAGAAGGACGACGAAGCTGCCTCGAATTTCTGCTTCTAAACCATCTGATTGGATGCAGAAATTGTGCTAAAAGCAGTTAGCCTATCAGCAAAGATATTCAAGCCTAAATAGCATCTCAGTGCTAAACATGCAGCAGCTAATACTAATGTTAGCATCCACATTTCTAAAGAAGCTCCATGATTAAATATATTAGCTGTTGAGGTCATATGTCTATTTCAATAATTTAGCAGCAAAAAGGATTTTTGAATTAAAAATGTTGCTCATTTTGTCAATTTATGGTTTTTGATTAATTGTAATTAGTTCATTACAGACCCTTCAGTAAACTTCATTAAAAATCTTAATCGATTCCCAGCACTAGTTTTTGAACCAATGAACCACATGGTTCTTCAATAAGAGCCTAAATATGGATCATATGTGAAGGTTTTCCCTTCAGCAGCGTGAAGGTAACAGATCAGGGTTGATTCGGTGATTAAAACATGAGCCTGGTTGTTTTTCAGTCGCACACGAACATTTTATCTTCCATACACAGAATCCATCTGAACAGATGAATTTTATTTAACCTTTATTATCTCTGAGCTCCTCTTTCAACACTCGTCCCTGAAGCCTGTCAGGATATTTATGTCATTTGTTCCTCTTCTCTTTGCAGAAAGGAGAAACCGTGAAGAGAATACGAGAAGAGGTAAGACCTTCATCATCTCCCCTCCTCTTCCTCTCCTGCTGATCCATGACAAGCCTTCATCAGCAGCCGGCATGTGTTGGGCTAATTACCGCCGCCGTGCCCATCCTCACTGACACTGTGACAAGTCGCAGGGTTTAGCTTAATCTCCTCTAATCAGCTGGATCCAGCATCATCACAGATTCTGTTGGGTCCCGGAACGGTCCGGTTGTCGGTTCTGCCAGTGAGCGCGCTCAGACGGGCCACAAGGCTCGGGATTGGTTCTGCAAATGGAGACAGGAATAATTGAAGGTGTTCAGTATTAAAGAGCTCCAGCTGTGATTCTCCTGAACATAAAGTTGAAACGCCGAGCTGACGGGAGCTTTTCAAGCATCAAAGTGTGTGTGTGTGTGTGTGTGTGTGTGTGTGTGTGTGTGTGTGTGTGTGTGTGTGTGTGTGTGTGTGTGTGTGTGTGTGTGTGTGC